AAAACAGAATACATTAAACAAATAAATACAGCTGAGGTATTTTTAACATTAGTTATATGGCAAGTTCCCTTTAGAAAGGAATTACGAACTTAAAGGGCAATTTATAAAATAATGGATGTTTTGCGCAAGGTTTCTCGTCATGACTAACATTTTAAGTATATGGTTTATACGGGTGTGACTTGGAGTTTTCTCAAAAGTTCATGGGTACTTCTGGCTTTATATATAGATAACTATAAGTATAATAACAATACTATACCCTGTCGTATTGTAAAGGCTTACTGATTAACATTATTGCATAAAGAGTATAACACATTTGTAACAAGTTCATTAACGTCTCTATGAGTAGCCTATTAATCCACTCTTTCTGATTGACTGATCCTTTTCCTGATGACTGCTATTCAAGAGGTTATTATTTGTTTTAACACTTAAATAGGTAGTTTATTACCTTTGAAGCAAACGAACATTGTGAATAAAAGAAAGGAAATAGAGTCCATATAACGATGGATTTTCAGGGATTCTATTACAAAAATTATTTCTATTAAAATTATTTATAGTATTGAATTTTGTTATCAGATTTACAATTATTGCTAAAATCATGTTATGTATTATTATCAACACGTGTCTCAACAATAACTTTAGAAATGTTTAAACGCTCATCAACGGGTTAATTTTTAACTTAAACTAAATAAAATTTAACTCAGTCAGCATTTCAGACATGTATGTGTATGATTGAAAAAAAAAATGTTTAAGAGGAACAACAGCTATTTTATTTTGAACTGTGTTTTGGACCACGGCCATAATACTAACAAAAAACTTCAACAATGACCAGGAAACTCTAAAACTAACTGGGTCAAATCAGCCACATTAAAATAATGTTTTGGGAAATTGTTTTTGACGTTATAAAAATAATATAATAAACTTTATCTTTACTTTTATTTACTATGAGCCTACATGAATGCCAAAAGTTACATTGGGATCATCGTTTTAATGATCGCTACGATATACTCATGTTAAAATCATATAGTTCCGACTCCATCCAAACAATTTTTACATAGCAAGTTTTTAAATTTATAATAGTCCTAAAATAGAAATTTTTCCAGATAAGGACGGAACTATATGATTTTGACATATGAGTATATCATAGCGCTAGTTAAAATGATAATATTAATGTAAGATTTTTGCAGTTACATAGGCTGATAGTAAAAAAGTAAACGTACCGTATATTACATTATTTTTAACGTCAAAAAACATTTTCCAAAGTTATAACCTAATGTAACTAATATTACCTAGTTTGTTGGAGTTTTCTGGTCGTTGTCAAAGTATTGTATTATGGCCGTGGTCCAAAACACAATTCAAAATACAATATTTGTTTGCCCTCTTTGTTTCTTGTTTCAATCAGACATATATCTTACATACATATTTTTTATGGTAAATTTTAAGTAGATTAACATAAATACATTTTATGATTCTTGCAATAACTGGAAATAGTGTATATTTAAAGCTGTCTTAATATATTATTTCCAAAGTGACTTTGGACTTATAAGGAGGGATGTAAAGCAAGTTCGGATGACAGTTCCTTGTTATGATATATTTGAGTTGCACCGAGGGGAAATTTATCTCTTAACTTTGTAGGTCTTGTCTGTTAACAACAAACTTATTATTTTGACGTACATTATAATAAATTAGTTTGAATTTTGTCATGAACTTTTGCCCATTTTTTTTGCCTACCAAAACATGGTAGCCCAAAAGTAGTTAAGAGTTGTAACAATCAACTTTAGTCACTAAAAAAACTTGTTTCCACTATGTCGTTCAAAGGCTTAAAGTTTAGTAAACATACAAAAAGTGAGTTTAACAAAAGTCCCGCAGTGCAGTAAAACAGAGTGATGAGATAAATTAACTTTTTGCTTGGACAGTTAGTTGAACACCAGATTGGGACGCGGATTTTTAATTAAATATAATGGTTTGATGGAATCGACTTATTTAAATGACACAATGTGTATTGGATCTATATGTTTTAATTAGTGTAAAATACGACCCTTAGTTTTAAACATAACAATAAAAAAGGTTGGCTTTTTTCAAATGTCATCGGAAAACAGCTTATTTTACGATATTGATCGTGCCTACTGATAAACGATAGTTACAGTAAATTTAATTTTGATAATGAATTAAAGAGTAACTCAGTCCCGTACAATATAGTACAGGATAGTACTATATAGTATTCTGCAATTTTAGGGCAGATTTTACTATTTTACTATCTTGGGTATTGTGGCATTCCGAATCACATTCTAAATTATACTAATCAATTTAAATTGTACATAGTATTTACGAAATGTTGTCTAATTCGTCAAGATATTGTAAAAGTAAATCTAGGAATAGGATTCATCACCGAGAAATTCGTAAGAATCTGGTACGATATTTTAATGCAGTTTTGCTGAACAGGAAGCAGCTGTTCGATAGTACCAGCTGATTTATGCTGTATGATTTGGGAGGGTGACAAAAAGCCATGTTTATTGTTTAATGTGTTGAAAATCAGCCAAATTTATCCGTGATAAACAGTGCCTGAAAATAATAACGATTAATTCTACTTACTCAGTGATTGAAAACTTATATAAATATACATCAAATAATGTCAACAAGTTGCTTATCATTGTTCAAAGTTTTATACAAAATAAATTTAATTGTGTAAAGTAAGCGAGCGGGCTTATTATACATAGACCTTTGCACATATATATAATAAACACCATAGTGGTATATTTCGTGATGCATGATTTTATTCTACTATTTAATACAAATTCATTGGTACGTAACTATACATTATTTACAGTAATGATTCTTCCGCAGAACACTCATAACAAAAATAATTAAATCCAATGTTTAAATAACCAAATAAACTATATTGTTAGTAGGTGTGTACCATGAACGTAATTTCTATAAATGAATCGTATAATTTTTGTTTTATTACATGATGAAATTATGAGTAACACATTTCCATATGTAATTGGAGGACAAAAGTACAATCTGAAAAAAAATCTTTTACAGGGTGCAGAAATATCCCATCGAAATTGCATTGTCTTATGTAAAACACAATTGAAATGATATCAACACTAGTATAGTATAATAAGTGTGATAATACAAGGCCAATAAATAATAATGCAATGCTACTCAGGTTTGCAGAGATTAGACAAACTACTTTTACTTCCTAAATATTATTAACAAATTGAAAACTTACTCTATAAAGTTACTCGATATTTTGTATTGTTTCTATAAACTTAAACACCAATACTGCAGACCAATAGTTTTGTAATGTTATATTTACTGCAAAAATTATATCGCACTAGGGGAACCTTTGGGCCTGTTAATACTGGATAAGAAATGATAAGTTGAATGTTTGGATTAGTGAGCCAGAGATTGCTCTTTTCAATTTGCAGTTTTTCCAGCTGAACGATAAAGTTATGTGATATAAATGTGTTGGTGGATAAGATTCTAATAGCATTATATAAAAAGAAACCGATTATTAAGGGAAAAAATGCTATTAAATCGATTATGCCTACTATAACATTTAAAACATAAAAGTTGTCAAAAAAACAAACAACAAGTTATATTTATCAGGTTTGAATATAAATTTAAAACTGTTATACTAAGGAAATTTCATTAATATTTGATTTTTATAATGTAATGACTGTGTGCCATTTTTGTAATAAAGTTTGTGCAATAAAGTTAAATGAAAGTTTAAGAAAGGCGCTCATTAAGAAGCTGGGTAAACTACTTTCATTTCTCCTGCAATTTCTGTTAATGTTCAGTGATTTCTTTCAAATATAATTACAGCTGTATTCCTGCTGCAATATTAAACTCCCCTTTTGGTTTGATAATAAGACGATAACAAGACGGTATTATTATACTTATGGTCTACATACATGAAATAGTTACATATCCATAATTCATTTTAGAAACAAAACTTAATTTTACACACTCCATTCGTGTATGCCAGTATGTGATGGACAGCAATAGGGTTTGAAGGACAGTGAAATCTCAAATTGTTGACAACCCCTGTAAATATCAAATAAATGAAAGCTCTTAATCTCAATAATTATTAAAGATAACTTTTGCGGGTCAAAGCATAGTACATCGAGGGCATTGCCTAATTGTTTGTTCAAAGTTGTCCATGCAATTTGAAGGGATTCGTTTTTTATCTTGAATTAAAATGATTATCTAACTATACGCTACAACGGAACTGTAAAAATGTAAAATACATTTAACAAATTCCACAAATTTATGGTAAAGGTTTACCCATCCAGTCGTTTAAATTTTGGCCTAAAAGTGATGAAAAATAAATAATCCAGACATAGTAGGAGAAGCAAAGAGCAGAATACCAAGGGCAATATTTTAGGAGGGAGGATGTTTAGAATTAAAGATCTTTTAGAGGCAAACCCCAGCAGGAAGAAGACTCTGACAAAGACCAAAGAATCACTGGAAGGACTAAAAAGAGAAATATTTGCCAAAAAATTTAGATCAAGGCAAGAAGATTTATAAAACAAGGAGGGAAGGAGGTAACTTGTTGGCAAGGCCAAATACCACCTGGTTCATGGTCATAGGAGTAAGTAAGTTAAGATGTAACATAGATAAGCAAAAATACGATCTTGTTTTCAAAAATAAAAAATATGAATACCCCTGCAACTTAATTTCTTAGTACACTATAGAATAGTTTGATTATGAAACTGTAATTTGTATTCACACCAGCATGATGCAAAAACAAAATATGCTCATTTGCATGCAGCATATTTGCCAATAAAAACTTCATCAAAACCAAATACATACAAGTGTAACAATTTTATTAAGGAAATTTTTTGTAAAATACTTGCTGAAGTTATGAAAGTTTGTAAAAACCAATCATTTCACGAGTTGATGATGACATCACAGCGATGGCAGCTACACCAGATGTTTACAGGTGTCACAAACATCACTTAACTTTAACGATCTGCAAAATAAAATTTAGTTTTCATCGACAACTCGACGGATTCTGCGGTTCTTTAGTTTTATGCTGAAACTACAAGCATGAATTACCCTGCATTTTTTGGTCTTTTGGTCGCCGTAAGTCTCTCATTGTTAACTGGGGTGAGTTTCAGTTTTGTTATGTTAAGGGGATCTACCACCTTTAATGAAAATTTTTTTATTTAGTAAGTTAGACATTTTTTTATGCAGGTATTATATTTAGGACCTTTATTTAATGAGCTTTTGAGGTTTTAAATTTAATTTTCACCTTTTGGTTTTTTTTATTAAATTTTTTAGCGTTTTTAGGTACATTGCTAAACTTTGAATAACTTTTTTTTTATTTTTTGATCAATTGTAATGATTATTGATTTATTTTTATCCTTATAATACCTAGAAACTTTTTGGTCATTATAATTAAAATATCATTTCAGAAAAAAAAAGTTACAAGCAATTATATTTTTAAAATAAAAATTTGTAATTTACAAATTTAAAAAAAATCATAATTATTTTATTTTATTCGCTACACAATTTCTTATGCCCAATTATCTCGGTAATATAACAAGGAACAAGTAGTAAAAAGTTTAATGGCTTATCTATAATACTTTAAAAGTTATTCAAACATATGTAATAAGAAACACGGAAAAACAGAACTTGCGGAAAACGGACTTTAAAGTAGGCTATAGCGTTTCCATAGCAATTGTAACAACTTCTATTTTTTAATATTATTTAAAGAAAAAATGTTCAGTTTGTATTCAAATTTTACCCACATACTCAGAAAAGTATGCAGAACAAAAAAAAATAACATTTTTTATGTGAAAAAAATAAAAATTTACCATTTAAAGGTGGCGGATCCCCTTAATTATACTTTTATGTAATTTTGTAGTTATTTACACACGAAAACTTGTGGCGTATAACTATAGGAAACAACATGTAATCAAGATAGTTTTGTTATATACAACAGCGTCTCACAGTGTAAGAAAGCTTATTACTAAGCTAACAGTAAGTATATGTTTCCTTTAAAATGCTGTTTAAACTTACAACATTTAATCGCTGTAACTACTTAATTAGACAATAGGTTATTTATTGTTTAAATTATCAGGTACAAATTACAGTAAAATCGATATGTATAAGAATGTGCGAATTAATATTTGTCATTATCTATATAAATAAAATTAGAGTTTTGTCTGTACTTTGCTCAGAATTATATACTTTTAGGTTATTTTTACGTTTTATACATTAAAGAAGCAGAAACGAGTCTTATCTCTATTTCTGTCTGTCTGTCTGTCTGTCTGTCTTTCCCTTTGTCTGCAACACTCAAGATGGCATTTTACGCAATCTTCTCCGTGAAAACCAGAGTACCTATCAAGATCCAAGTCATTTTAATGTATTCACTGGATTGGCGAGAGTGTCTTTATTGATTTAAATATAGCCTCACTACTTTGTAAATAAAATTACGGACGTTCAAAAATGCAGTTTTGTGCGATTTTTTTCAAATTTTCGTTCAATTTTTATTACATAATCGTCTATGAAATAACGAACAGCTGTTCGGATCAAGATTATTTTTTCTAGCTGTCAATGATATGTTTACAAATGTTGTTTACAAATACCGCAACCATTTCGAATCACGTTTTGAAAGCAAATCCCAACCAAGTGAGATTAAAAACGTTTTTCTTACATAACGGATTTAATTAATCGCAAGTGCAATAATATAGTCTAATAGTGTAACCGTAAATGAAATTAAATAACTAGACATCGTCCAAATCGGAACCAGAAATTCTTTGAGTATAAAATGTTTCTTGAGTTTTGACAACCAGAAAGAAGACCTTGAATCAGTGTTGTATAGTGCTGGGACACTGAAATGATCGTCGCCAATAGCTTACAAAAAAGGTTTCCACTCATTGACGGCGCTTCAATGGCGGTTGTGTAAAGTGTAAAGTAAAAAACCACAACTGCAGTGGGTGATTGTAACAGAGGTTTAACAGAGGAAGTGCTAAACTCGAATTTCCAATGTGTCACTTTCTGTTCCTACTCACCGTGTGATGCAATCGCTGGACCATACAGCCAATAGGCCCATAGCTCATATCTTGGGTACGTAAGCCTACATATTTATTCATAACAACCTTTTTGACGACGATCCTTGATACCGGTACTTTTCCATAGAATACATGGCCTACCTACTTAAGAAATATAATTACAAATGACCAAAACCCCAACATTGTGTGATTTTCGTCACATTTCCTTCTAATGTTAATAGATATACTAATCATTGTTTAGAGAATGCGTAATCTATTAAATAACAAAAAGTTGTTTGGGTAAGGTTGTTTTTTTTTTTCAAACTGACACCGATAAGTTTACGCTATAACTTTTTACGAGAAAATCCAAAAGCAAGAGATCAATAACCTCGGGACTAGATATTAATGTATTTAATTGGTCGGATGTACTATAGTTCTTAGTTTTGCTTTTTCTGTCTGGATTCCAAATCTTAGCTTACCCGGTATGCTAAGAAAATGATAACCTATTTGAGAAAAACATTTGTTGGGCAAACCATCATGAATTGTTTACGCCTTTATATTGTTTATGTATCAATACTTCGTGGCCTTTTTTGGATTGTTGTGTGTATGTCTGTTGGTAACGCATTAATGTCCTTATTTCTCAGTGTTTCACGGAATGGACAAGAGCACCTTTGATACTGAAAATGTCAACCGGAATAAAGTGTTAAATGGTGAGGTTGAGGTTACGTTTAAGTTAACCGATGTGGAAAGTAACTTCCAATTATAGGCCTACTTTAGGGCTACGCTTCATGGATCTATAACACATTTTTTAGTTTAATCATTGGACATATGGACCATAACGATCCGGGTGAAATTCAATTGCGAAGCATTTATTTTGGCTTGAACTGTCAGATACTGTATTTGCGAAGGTTTATATATAATATTTTTGCCAGCATATCTGCAAATATGCAAACTAACTGCTGTTCTTAATCTTAATATAAGAAGGTTTCAACTGACTACTATAAGATCCCCGTGCGTAGAACGGGCACACAGCTAGTCTATTCTATATATAATTCAGTTTTAAAAATCTTTGTACAACTAAATCTAGAGTTCTACTGGACCGATTTTTTTAATTAATGGGTCGTTGGAAAGCTTAAGAAATATGAAAGTTTGTTTTTGTTATGATTTATGGTGATAAATTAAAGAAAACGTGTTTTCCATAAGAAATACATTGAAAACGGTGTTTTTCACACTTTTTATTTGGGCACGACTTTTAGCTGCCATTTTTGAATATTTTCAAGAAGTGCATGGTATCAATTTGTAGGAAATTTTATTCTCTTTCAGAATATCACCTTCCACTTTGGTCGATGTCCTCACCATTCAAAAGTTATTTGCAAAAAAGCTAAGCAACCTCCGAATTTATAGTAATGAGAAAATATTGAGTTTGGGATATTTTTGTTAAACTTTGTACAACTAAATCTAGACTTCTACTGGACCGATTTAGTTAACTAATGGGTCATTCGAAAGCCTAGCCCATGTAGATTTGCAAATAATTATAAAATTGTGATTTTATTTAATATTTGTGGTGAAAAATTTAAAATAACAAAAATACATTAAAAACTGGGTTTTTCAAGTTTCTGTTTTCAAGATTCTATTTGTAGCCAGCTTTTAGCTGCCTTTATCAAGTATTTTAAAGAATTGCATAGTAGTTATTTGTAGTAGATTTTATTCTCTTTCAGAATATCACATTCACTTTGGTCAATTTCCCCTTCATTTAAAAGATATTGGCAATAATCTAAGTGATCTCCAAATTTATAGTGGTGAGAAAATACTGAATTAGATATTATATTTTTGTTAAACTTTGTACAACTAAATCTAGACTTCTACCGGAGCGATTTTGTTACTTAATGGGTCGTTGGAAAGCCTAATTTGTGTAGATTTGCAAATAATTATGAAAGTTTGATTTTATTAGATATTTAAGGTAAAAAACAAAAAATAATACATTTAAAACTCCTTTTATTCCAGGTTTATATTTTCAATTTTATATTTGTAGCCAACTTTAGGCTGCCTTTATTGAGTATATTCAAGATATTTATAATATTAATTTGTAGGAAATTTTATTCTCTTTCAGAATATCACCTTCCACTTTGGTCGATTTCCTCGCCGTTTTAAAGTTATTTGCAAAAACGTTAAGCAACCTCCAGGTTTATAGTAGTGAGATTTACTGAATTAAAGATGTTGTTGTTAAACTTTGTACAATTAAATCTACAGTTCTACTGAACCGATTTTATTAATTAATAGGTCATTGGATAGCCTAATTTGTGAAGATTTGCAAATAATTATGAAAGTACTGTTGAGGTTGCAAGCAAGATCATTTGGCTATAAATCGATGATAAATAACTCAATTTTTTGAACAATTTGTGTTGATCGTGATTTAGCTGCGTGCTTTAATGAAATGGAAGCTGGCATTTCAATGAAGGTTCTTAGGTCAAAACAAATAGAATAACGTAATTAGAATTAAGTAAATGTATCTAAAACTAAATTCCATATCCAAGATATAATCAAATTTATATTTTCTGATTGAGCGATACAGTATCTTGAACTTAACTGATTAAAACTATCAATATCTTAAGTGAAAGCCTTTGAAGTATTTTAAGACCAAGACATATAAAATCACTTAAATAAAAATAGAGTTACGTATCATTGATTGCAGATAGGTACTAAAACGATTGTATTTATTGTTGATTCGTGATTCAGCAGTGTGCTTTAGATAGTCCGATCTTAATAATCAATAGCTCAAATGAAAGCTGGTATTTCACTTGAGGCTTTTAGACCAAAATGTATAATGTAATTAGAACTGCTAGAATACATTTTTAATTGAAGAGAAAAAAAATTCTTTCGTCGAGTAATACATTAGATAAATTAATGATGATACTTGATGACAAATATGTGCTTGCATAGCTTTTTTTTAAGACCAAAATTATGAAAATCGGGCAGGTAGAAGAGCCCTCCTGTAAACCAGCGCCCGCCTGCGAAACATTGAACTCGAAATAAACCAAATTTATCTCCCATAAGAAATGTACAGGGAGGCAGTTTGTGCATAACTCGAAATATACGTCAAAATGAATGTCAATGCTTGATGGCAAATCTGCGGCACGTCCATACCTTTAGTTTAAGGCAAAAATTACGAAAATCAGTCTGGTAGAAGAGCTAACCCGACTTCGAAAAGAAAAACCAATTATTTTTATAGATGGCAATAATTGGTTTACCAGTATGCATAATCTAATCATACGAAACATGTGTTAATAATTCAACAGCTTATTGTTATATTTTTATCTAATTAATTTTTCTGTGATTAAATTTTGTTGTTAACAATTTGCATTTATGTTTAAAGTGTGTTCCTTATGTTAAATGTGTGGTTCTAATGTTATGTGCTTAAACTGTACCATTAATATTAGTGAGTAAAGTGGTGTATGGATTTCATAACCATTATTTTACTAGAGACCGTTGTATTTAATCACAACGGGCACTGTTGCTAGTTGTATATAAGCTCATGGAATTAACCTACATCAAGTTTCCCCAATTGTCGGTGTTACTATTTATACGCAATAAAATAAACCTGATACAAATCAGCAACATATTACCATTTTGTTACCAAATCGTATAATAAGCTAAATGATCAAAAACATTTTTGACACGAATCTCACGAACCTTAATGCATACCTCTTAGGCAATTTTGAAAAAGGATTGAATAACTGGAAATCACTTGCTGTGGAAGCTTACAAATAAATTAAGACAAAAATATTTCGCTCCAATTGATATAAATCTTCTGTTTCAGCGTGTTATCTACAGGTATCGATTGGATTTAGAAAGAGTAAGAATACAGAAAGCAACGGTTAATCACTTGAGGAATGAAGGTACTTCCAGTCATGGTGTTACCACAAAGGGCGCAAACACAGACACTCCATTTGCAGTAATGACCGGAAAAGGTATATTTTGGACAATTATGTAGGTTAGAGTAGTCATGAAGTTTGCCAGCACATGATTCTGTATTGTAATATTATATTTCAAAAGTCCCGAAGTCCCATTTTGGGAAAGATAGTGGTTAACAAGTGCGAAAACAACTCTCGAGCCGGGGAATGGATGTTTTGTGACGAGTCGTGAACTACTGTTTATCACGATGCAGAAATAACAGCTGACTTTTGCTCTGTTTGGTCTCAGGATCATACATACAGGGTCCCCATCAACCCCTTTTACACTTTAACTAATTTCCAGTGTTTCTTTTATTGGAATTACTCTACTTAATTTTATATAGGTAGGCCCTGCTACAGTCTTTTCAACACCATTTCTAGTAACCTTTGGGACTAAACAAGTAAAGTGGTACAGTAATTTCCAACGGCATAACCATTGCACGCTGAGTAAATATGTTGTAATAATGAAGTGCAATTTTATACAATAAAAAATGTTAATAGTAGTGTTCATAAATAAAATGGCCAAATTTGATCAAAATATATCCATAAACTAGCAAACTACAATGGTTCACTTTTTCTTCTGAAAAAGGTAGTAGGCCTAATTTAAAATACAGTTTTGTCCGTAACTTTTAGGTAATACTACGATAACGCTTTGATACCTACAACAGTTTGTTAGGTCTACGATGGTTGTAATGTAATTGGCCATTTTTATGTTTTAAGAGTAAAGATTTGAAAGAATTTAAAAAATCACACTCTGTTTTTATGACCGTACTTTACTGGTTCACAAACTCATTTAAGTACAACAAAAATAAAGATTTCCCCCTCTAAACCAACCATAAGGAATAACTTGCAAGTAGGCCTACTGTATTTTAAATGTTTTTTTAGTGAATTTCCCTATAGGGAAGTATCTTTTACCGTACGTGGCATGGTAAGACCTAGGCCCGGGACCGATTCACTTTTTCGTTTTGATGTCCCCAGAGAGCAAAAACACCATTCGTTTAAATTTGTATGTGTGTCCATGAACGCGATAAGTTGAGTAATTTTTGTCCGATTATGATAAAATTTGGTTTAAAGGTGTAAGACGGGATAAACATGTAACGAGTTATTTTTCCTAGGGGGGTAAATATTTGCTATTTGGCCGCGCACCGATTGTTGAGGTAGGCAAGCGGCGGCGGCGAACCTGGCTAGCGCCCTTTGACCCGGCTTATCAGTGCCGATAAGCCTGGGATATCCTAGTTTCTCAGGATAGCCTAGGACAGACATTCGAGTGGTGGATCCCGTGCAGTGAAGAGTGTTGGTGTCTGGCTGATACGTCGGTGGTGTACGTAGAGAGGAGTGAACGTGACAGTGGTGTCGGAGAACGTTGGTGGTGTGATCGCGCCGAGTGTTTGTGTAAGTTGGGTACAGACCCACTATCGGTGAGTGGACGACGTTCCTTACTTTTTGGTTTAAGAGTTGAAAGTTGTTACTAAAACACTCATCTCTGATTTGATTGCGAGAGTTAGAGTTGTAACCGTGCTGGTCAAAGCCTGACGGTAGTTAGGATTTATTAGTCAGGAATAATATTAATTTATATTCCTGACGGTTCTGGGCAGGTGCTAGAGCGCAAATAATATATTTAATTGGCTGTAGTAGATATTATTTTGCGTTGTACCTAGAGTTAGTTATATTACTAATAACTGTAAGGCCCGACAAACCTAGGCTGCACGATTTGGCGTGCGTAGTTGGAAGCACGCGGCCAGTAGGCTAGTAGCTAATTGTATTAGCCTGTTAACAGAAGCCCAGCTAAGTAATATAACGTTGATGTCGTAGTAGTAGCAGTAGGGTTGTTATTAATTAATCATTTGATTATTTTACTTCAACCTGAACAGCTTGCTTAGTAATCCAACACGTTAGCTTGGTAGCTTGGATAGCGGAGTACCGGCTATCAGATAATATATTTATCTAGTGTTTGGAACGTATTTAATATTTATTCATCTGCTACTAAGTTGCTCAATAATTTAATAGTAGGCTATTGCAATTTACATATAGTTTTGCTTGTTTAGCTTGGTATTTATTGAGACCAGCAGTTTTGGTGTAGTCACTCTTCCTATAGTGCACTTGTATTGTTATCTGGTATTATTATTGAGTGAACTGTTTGATTGTTAGCTTGGGCAATAGAGTTGTGTATTGGATTATAGTGGCCTAGTAGACCCCGCCTGGTGATAACTCGCGTTGTGGTTTTTATTGGCAAGTTGTCGTGTAACTCACCGTGTTTTAGGCACTCTGGGCTTAACTATTGGATAGTTAGGACGAAGCCCGAGTTGCGTAGTCAGCAACGACCCCCTAGGAGAGTGGAGAATCGGCGTAGGCCTGGTAGTGATTATTGCACGTTTGTTTTGGTGACTTGTTTTTTACTTGTTCACAGTGCCCGTGTATGAGCCAGTCCTATACCGGTTAGACCCGGCTTTTGGCCTAGTGGTTTCCCTGACCTTATCGCAGACCCTGGAACTTTACCCAGCCATTGTAGGCTGAGCTAACCCCGGCAAACGGCGGCGACTGCACTTTTAATATTTTTTCCAGTGCAGAAAATTTCGTCGCAAACAAGAATGAGTTCGCAAACCAGCATACCATGATCGACCATGGGGAGCGGGGTTTTCTGGGGTAAAAATTGGTTTTTCTCATTTTTGACCCTCAAAACATAAATTTTCCCAATTTATCTGTAAACATTTTTAAAGAGCATAAAAAGCAAATAATTTAGTACCTATATCAAAGTGGTTTTGCACGGTTATTAATAAAGGTTAAAATTCAAAAAATTTTAAATTTTAAATTCCCAAATTATTCTTATGGAGAATATTGTAAAATAGTTTGCTTGTTGATGGATATACAGTATTTTGATCAAACTTGGCATATTTATTTACTTTATACTAAGCTATTAATATTTTACTAAAAAAACATTTTAATAGTTTCCTGGTTATTTAAATAGATTTAATTGAAAATCAATTCAGAATAATGAAAATTCACTTCGTCTGCAGGTTTGCTGCGGCGAGGGTATTTCAATACCAGTACAGGATGTACCCAAAACAGAGGTTCATTAGATCAAATCTCACAGAGATCCCACATGTCATATTATACATAATTATAACGCTATTGTTGATTTTAATATTTTGTTGTCATTTTGGTGGAATCATATAATTTTGTTTTTCTTTTTTTTATTGCCAAATCATATATGATCGTAAGGATTGAGGGTAAATCATATATCATAATAAGGTGGGGGCTAATGTGCTTACTCCCACTACTTGATTTATTATTGTTATTCCCAAATAACTATGACCACGTAAAACAAGTGGATTTGCCCACTCATTATCTCGTTCTAGAACCAGCCCTGTTGTCTTGGTTCTTGTTATCATGCAAAAATAACTAAACATAATTGATATATTACAAGAAAGTCCATGTACCGTGAAGTATCATTGACATATTTCAATTTACATTTTGGGAATTGGTTTTCCCTTGGCTTTCATAAGTCCCTGTGGTTAAGGTTTAAAAAGTAAATTCAATGATTTCAGTGTCATAAAACGTCACGCTACGTTTACACTTGCTCTAATTGTAGTTCTTAAACTTCGATGAATCTTTTGATTTAAGCTCTATTCCATAACTAGGACCTAAAGTGAAAGTGGCTCTGTTCTAAATTACTTTTAAATAGCTTATTTCACTATTCGAGTTCAGCTCAATGGAAATTTGATCAAACTTTCGGTAAATTTTCAATTTCTGTAACTGAAATGATTACAAAGAAAGGAACAAGAGATGTGAGAATAGAATTTACCATCAAATCAGCCTTGATTAGTTCCAAATGATATAAAGAGATTTTACCTTTAAATATTTTCCCCTTTGTATACTATAAATCTTGAGGTTTGAAATTTAGAATTTTTTAAGAACAGCTATAGTGATAAGAGAGGAAACTTTCTTAAATACTTTGAGCGAGTAATAAACAATAAAAATAATTAAGAGCAAAAATAATTTATTAGTTTTACATTTCTTCAACATGAACACAGAACATAAACAAAACAAATAATATGAAAAACCACATGTAAATGTGTTAAACCTAAAACATGTGTTGGTTCCGGGCCAAAGACAACAATATTTAAATGTCAAAATATATTATATTTCTGAGACAGACTAAAGGCAAAAATATTTAAAATCAATATTAGCTATTTACCTTACAAGTGTAGTAAGAGCGTATTTTACATCACGCAGGTGAATGTTGTGCAACGAGCGGAAGCGAGTTGCATAATTCACCTAAAAGATGTAAACACGCTTTTGCGTAACGTGTAACGTACACGATTTTACCTGACCCGACAATATACAGGGGGTTACGTACAATATTTTTCATTATCCATTTCACTCATCTTCTAACAGTAACTTTTACAAAAGCATAACAAAATTCAAGCGCACAGCTGATTTCTAGCGTTAAACGTCGTTGGCTCCATAGAAGTATATTTTTTTAAGTTGAGCACTCAATGTTATTTAAATGGGTTTCATTACTTCACCGAGTGACTTTTTGAAACTTTACTTCACTTGTGAAGTAAAGAAGATGTATACATCACGCTTGAGATAGGGAAGTTTAACATGGTGGGTTAGGTAAAATACTTAATAGTAACTTAAATTAATTGTTTCCAGTTTACAAAGTCGACGCCTTCGAGAAAGATGACAAAGGAAAGAAGTTGATTGCCATAGCAGCTACGAAGAAACAATTCAAGATGGCGTGTCTCCCTTTGCCAGAGGCTCGGCAGCATTGTGCTACCAAGACGAAGGAAACTCATCTGCATTACGTAGAACTTCTAGAAGGACCGAACATGGTTGAGGCTTACTGTACTTCGGACCCCTCCGTCGTCCTGGACAACGTCAAACACCTCTGCTCGCGCAAAACCTGTGACGGCGATGAGTGCAAACTGTACCTGTTTAAAATCAGAGTGAACAAAGAGGATAAAGAAGAATGCAAGATTAAGAGCTTCGCTTCGGTGACCGGTGGATTCCAAAAACGTGGCGAAGACGATTGCCCAACACTGTCACAAAGGTCAAAATTGTTGGACGAATGCGAGGCAAAGTAAGTACGAAGGTGAATAGTTGAATGAGTAAAATGTCAGGAAGAATAAACGTGATATCTGTATACTAGCTTAAATAACTGTGGTCATGTATCTATAAAGGTATTTACCTACAAATATTGAACCGTGACAATTACTTAAGAGTTGAATTACATTAGTTATTAAATAGTAAATACGTTTGAAAAAAGCTACTATAATTGTTCTTCTTTTGCATGAAAATCTTGATAGATATGTAAAATAGAGATATGTATAACTTTATCACTACATTAAATTAGGTCAGTGTAGACTAATATTTGGGTATTTACATTTTAGCGAACTTCCCATATAGGGAATAAGCTATTACCGTAGTACTCATGGTAAGACCTGGACCCGGGACTTTAATTTTTCTTTTTGAAGTCCCTAGAAGCCAAAAACACCATCCGTTCAAATTCATATATATATATGGTATTTACTCAGGGGAGGTATAGAAGAGGCTACGATGACAGCTGTGGGCTTCTTATTAGCTGAGGGAACGCCATTACCGTAACAAAACGGACAATAGCCATCGGCCTCGGTGGTCAAATGGTTAGAGTGCTGGGCTGATATACTGTAGGTCTCGGGTTCGAATCCCGCTGGTAGCGTTAACTTGTTGTCCAAGATTTTTTTATTATCAGCAAGTTTGGTTGGTTTGGTTCGGTTATTACAGTTTAATTTTATTATTAAGTCATTATAAAATTTTAATTGAGCAATTTCTAGTTTTATTTAATAAACAGAATTATTTTTCCGATTACTAAACTTTTGTTATATTATTTCTTTATCAGCAAGTTTGGTTAGTTCGGTTAGTTTATGATAGTTTAATTTTATAATTAAAAAATAATAAAGTTGAATTTGAGGCATTTATAATTTTATTTTATGAACAGAACTATTTTTGCGATTAGTAAACCTTCATTGCCAAAGTGCTCTCTACTACAGCGCTGTTCTCGGAGGAATTTTGAACTAAATGCCTCATTCGTACCTCCCCTAAGTCAGACCCATAAATATATGTGTGTGTCCGTTAGCGTGATAACTTGAGCAAAAATGATCCGATTTTGATGAAATTTTGTACAAACGTGTAAAACTACGTTTATTCGAACGAGTTCACGATCCAGGATAATCGGACCATGGGAACGGGGGCTTATGGGGGGCTTTATGGGGTAAAAATAGCGTTTTCCCATTTTTGACCCTAAAAACAAAAGATTTTGCAATTTCTTTTTAAACCGTTTTGTAGAGCTTAAGAAAATAAAAAATTTAGTATATTGAAGCGCTGTTGTATGCCTAACGGTCACGGAGAAAATTCAAAAATAGTGTAATTTAAAATTCCCATTATTCTTACGGAGAAAATGAAAAAGTTTGTAGTTTACTTGTTTATGGATATATAATGATAAAATTTGGCAAATGTATTTATTTCATCCTATACTATTGACGTATGGTCAAAAAAACTTTTTACCTTCCCCGTAGCAGCAAACCTAAGCACTTGTTAAATCTAATGTTATTTAAATAGGGAATAAATGTCTTATTTACAGAAATATTTTAGTAAAAATGTAATCATACAAGTTGAAATTCGCTTAGTCTGCAGGTTTGCTGTGGCGGGGGTATTATATCTTTAAATTAGGAAAACCTGGCTACTGACCCTTATTTTACCACATCAAAACTACAAATCGTGATAATTCAGTTATTTTTTATACGATCTTTTTGAACTTGGTGTCGTTTGATAGAGAACTAGAGGACGTCCAGTGGTCGAAAACTCGACCAAAAACATGTTATGTACAGACTTCTCTATTTTCCCCACGCTGTAAATAAAACATGTGAATAGAATTTATTCCATTTGTTTCGATTTTCTGTTTATATTTTGTTGTTATTTCGTCACCATCATGGCAACCCATAAGGCCCGTGTCGTCCCCTTTATAGGGGAAAAAGTATCGTAAAGTACCAAAACGTACATTTTACAGGAGACACAAAAAACTGTTTATCATGTACATAAAACCTTACAGAATACCCAGCATAAATGGTTTTTAAATGTAAAACATCTTAAAACAGCAGTTTATGGACTCAAATTAATTTCAGATTATTTTCTTTTTATAAAAAAAAACCCACTTAAGATACTTTGTTTTAACCTTTTTCTGCCTTCCCGGTGCTTACGATATTTATACTTGGTGGATAAGATGTCCTTAAAACCTCAGATAATAAAAAATAAACAATTTTAATTTTTGTTTAATTCCCAATTATTTTTTGTGCTCATTTTTTAGCCTATTTTAACTTATAAAGATTTTAAAGAAACATGCTTGCCTATTAATATATAGATTTTATGAATGAAATAAAAGTATTCTTGACAATTATTCATAAAGCCAGCCATTTTTTTGTACCGGTTATTTAAATTAGAAATTAAAATGGACAGAATTTTGGAATTTTAAATTAAACTAAGTTAATATTTTTTCAACATTAAATATCTTCAAGCACCATACATACCATGTTTCATAAAGATCAGTCCAAACAACCCAAAGATAAAAAGGTTTTTGTAAAAAATACAAAAGGGCGGATATATGGTTAACAAAGCGGTTTTGGAAAAATGCTATTTATTTTTATCTGATTTTCTTTTTATTTGACCCATACAACAATTCCCTGGAGTTTTTTCTAGTTGAAACAGGAAACCCTGTATAGATGCAAACAAAGAAAATCTATGAAGAGGATCAACAGTTTAATGAGAAATTAAACAAACAGTAACAAAACAATACAAATGTAATTGCTGACGCTTATGCAATATTTTAAAATGTTACTAAAACAACCATTTAGTTATAGTTCTTGCCCTTAGGAAAACTAATATTTTGTCCCAGAGTTCTTCCTATGAAAACTTGTTCTTGGCCCTTACTAGAAATCCTTTATTGCATTTTCAAAAGCTCCCGTTTTTCCCCCACCTGTGATTTTCTAATGTAGTATACAAATAGCGTTAAACTATTGACAATCTCAATAGACATCATAGTATAAATTTTTTTTTTTTTTCAGAGACATAATCAGTCCTGAAGATGCGGCATGGAGTAAAGAAGCAAATATTGAATCTTTATGTAAAGTAGAAGATGCCCCTGCTACTAACTCTGCTACTGAACCAGCACCGGATGCGGGAACGTCTTAACCAACAGAAGAGGAAATGAGTCAACCATGTCTTAGTTTTGAAAATAAAAAGACAAAACTTGAATTTACCATTTTAATTTTACTTACAACCAACCTTTATCCAATATGGCATGTTCTAATATTAGGCAAATATTCCTGTAGAAAAGTATCTATCAATTATTCTACTTATATTCTAATTTATATCTATACAAATTCAGTATATATAATATATATACTTTATATATACAGCCAAATTCATCCGTCATAAACAGGGCCTGAAAACGATAACAATCTATTCTACTTACTCAGCAATTGAAAACTTATTTAAATAGACATCAAATAATGTAAGCAATTTGCTTACCATTGTTCAAAAGTCTGAACACAGGTTTTATTTAATTAATAAATTGTCTAAAGTTGATCAGGTGGCTTTATTACACATAGACCTTTGCATACATATATACTCTACACCATAGTTGTATATTTTGTGATGCATGATTTCTCCTACTATTTAATACAAATTCATTGGTACATAGCTATAAATTATTTACAATAATGATTCGTCTACAGAATGGTGATAACAAAAATAAATAAATCCTGTGTTTAAATAACTAAATAACCAATATATTGGGATTTTTTATAGGATAGCCCTAAAAACCTAAAAATATGACCTAAAAGTAGGGAAATCCTAAAAACCTAGGCCCTTGTGCTTTATGTTACACCCTGAATTAAAGGATATTGTTAGTAGGTGAGTACCATGGATGTAATTACGATAAATGAACCATATAAATTTTTGTTTATTACATGATGCAATTCTGAGTAACACATTTCCATTTATAAATTGGGGACAAAAGTACAATCTGAAAATCATTTAAAGGGTGCAGAGTTATCCATTATGTTAAAGGAACATGCCATGTGCTCCGGCCAAGTCAGTGGAGTAGGGCGGGGTCTGAATCTTAATTCGCCAAAGTTTGCCTTGAAGAATATTAAAGCTACCCAAAATTCTATCCTTATCTGTTAAGATGGTTTTAAAAGGGCGCCACCCCATTAATCATACCCTGGAGTTCATGTGATGCCAATGGGGAATCCATCCAGTTGGGTCAGTTCATCAGATAACAAGATAACGTTTAGGTAATGCAGATAATTAATTACTATAAAGATAAAGAAAGTTTGACTGTTCATGCAATCTTATAACTAAACAGCGAATAAATTATGTACCCTCAAAATATAGCAAAAGAATTGATTAAAATTCAAAAGACTCTAATTCAAATTGTTTTGTAAATTCACACTAAATTATTTGTGTCTAGACAGGCAAATAGATGATAACCAGTTAGCAGACACAATATTTATTCAGCTATCAGATTGTCACATACAAAATACATAATTTAAATGTGGCTCCAATTTGTATATTCAACCCTCAATGTCACAAAAACCACAAAATATTCAAATAATAAAGTATTTCAAAAATGTACATAAATAAATCAGATATTGTCTGCTCAAGATAAACTTTAGTATATGTTTCACCAAAAGCAAGATATTCAGCAAATAATACTACAACATGAAATTAATTAATCAATTGAGTGCAACTGCAGGTGGCCACCGTGCTGAAAAGACGTTTTAAGTACATATAAATTCTCAAATACATCCACATAACCATAAAAATATCATCAAACAAGAACATGCACACTACTTAAATCTAACAAGGCTAAATAATTTATAATAAATATTCTCCAATGAGGCGTGACGACATCCAGGCACTCAAATATTCCTGTGGCACTTAATAGTCTCACACACACCTAGAGGTGGGGGCACTCAAGCACCAAGTGTCCACAATGTCTGGCTAGCCAAGTGTTTATTTGATTATTCCGGGATAAGCTGTGAGATCAGATGGTAAGATATTTTAGACTAAAGAATAAGATGTATGACTTATCGGTTGAAGACAGATGATCTCGGGCTCGGTCTGAAGTAGGTAGGTCCACAGCATCAAGGGTGATTGACCAGTCAGGCAGTCCAGGTCCAAATGTCCAGAAACATAGCAGTGGGTAGACCAAGTGTGGTAGAGTGCAAAGCAGTGACCAGAGTGTCCAGGCTGTTGGATCCAAATCCCAGCAGCAGTAGCCAAAAAACCCTACAAAGTTCCTTACTGAATAGTACATGATCTCACCATAATCAAAATATATATATATATAACAAAACAAGTTCTAGTGCCACACTTTTAAGCCAAAACACAGTTGTATTGTAAAATATTAAATAAATGTAATAGTTGTTCCCTGTTTAAATAAATAATTCAACTAATTTGTTCTAGTGAGTATTACAAATAACAATCCTACATAAAAACAAATATTTAAATATTACCAAATATTTCCACCAAAGATAATCACCCTAGTTCAAAGATAATTACCAAATATTTTAATAGATAAAAATATGCAACTTTGTAAACAACTTCTTGTGATAATGCAAGGTCCTGGAAATTATCTGCATAGTAATCTGTTTTATCTGTATTCCAAATAATATGCTACAATTGTAACTGCCCAAAAGCTTATACAGTATGATTTTATCATTGTATCACACCTACTATGATGTATTGAATTCATACAATAATTATTTTAACCTCAAGAATCTATTACACATTAAATTACACATCAAACAATGAGTACACTAACTATAATTTTTGACCCAGTTAAAATTGACAAAATGGAACATAAAATATGTACAACTAAATAAGTTTGACCTAGACAATGTAGCTACATAAAATGTTGATTATTAAAAATATAGCCTAATATTTACAAATTTGCTAACGTTTGAAATTTATTATTTACAGTTTTCAGCAAAACCAAGTAATTAATTTAATAAAAATACTACTGGATTTTTAATATTTTAACATTTACAGCCCAACAATGATTGTAATTTACTTCACTCAATATTCACAAAATTTTATGTACAACAATAGATAACTTTAAATTTTTAGTTATGCTTGATATTAAATTAACCCCCATAACGTTTATTTTACTTTGATTAACAGCAAAACTCCTAATAAAATATATTTTACCTATTTACAAAGTTTTAGAAACATGTGCTTTTTGAGATTGTTTATGCATGAAAAGTCAATGTTAGAATTTTATAATTCCAACAAAATTTATCATTCAAGGCAACATAAACTACTTATAATTTGATTATGAACATACAATTTACAAATAAAATATCTGCATTAATATCCTCAATAAAATATTCCTGAAGAGAAGGGGGTGTTGTCCTGGATATCCACAATCAGTCAGGTCGGCTTCCACACCATAAATGCACAGTTTTTCCCTATCCATCAGCTGGGCTTATCAGTACTCATGCACAAACCTGAGGGCTACTGATGGTCGGCACGTGTAGCTCCCTTGGCTACAGATTGAATTTATCTTGCTCCTTCAGTGGGGAGGCGGCAATTGCAAGACTTACTAGCAATATTGTGTATTGGGGCAGTTGAAGGCGTCCTTCCAAACAGCAATAATTACTATCGGGTGATCAGTCCGATTTCCCCTTGTTTTAAACATTACTAGCAACGTTACAAACACAATGACGCAAACCCGAGGTGAATATCTCAGCCTTAGGCAAAATGGCAGGTATTCCTAAATATGATTTATTGTATGTGAAAAAGCATCAAACAAATCTCTATTTTTAAAACCGAAATAGATAGGAATATTCTGTTTGTGGAATGTTTGTTAACATAGGTTCAGCATTTTCTATATCAAAAAATTTTTTAAACTCCTTTAACAGGGTAGGGGGTGGGGGTGACTATTTTTTTATAACAATCCCTATTAAGTGACCCCTCATTTTGAAGGGTTTGTCAAAAGAAACACAATGATGCAAACCCGAGGTGGATATCTCCCTAGGCAAAATGGCAGATATTCTAAAATTTATGTGAAAAAGTACCCATGGAGCACCCGTTGGTTTAGAAACGTAAACACCAATATTTTTTACCAATAATTTTGGTGTAATGTTATATTTACTGCAAAAATTAAATCGTACTAGGGGAACCTTTGGGCCTGTTAATACTGGATAAGAAATGAGAAGTTGAATGTTTGGATTAGTGAGCCCCAGATTGCTCTTTTCAATTTGCAGTTTTCCAGCTGAACGATAAAGTTATGTTATTTAAATGTGTTAGTGGATAAGATTCTATTGCCTACATTTAGTCGTTATACTCGTTTATACAATTGCTTCGTTGTTGGAATACGATAACTAGGATTGCTTTCATAGCAATCAAAGCCAGTTGAGTGGAGCATTCATGTTTCATGGTTTATAAAGCGATAAATGAACAAATGTTTATAGATATAATACAAAATACAAATAAATGTTCCCACACTCTGCACTGCTAGCCTTTACTACTTCCTTCACCACTTTCATACTGTTTCCCTCCCTTCCCATCGCATTTTAGTATTGCAGATATATTAATCTAACTGCCGCAGACGGTTCCCACACTGCAGACTGTTCACCAATACTACTTCCTTCACCACTTCCAACGCTGTGGACCTGTTTCCCTCCCATCCCAATACATTTTAGTATTGCAGATACATTAATGTAACTGCCATAAAGCGTTCCTACACTCTGCACTGCAAGCCTTTACTACTTCCTTCACCACTTCCTACGTCTTGGACCTGTTTCTCTCCCTTCCAATAAAATTTTAGTATTGCAGATACATTAATGTAACTTCCACAAACGGTTCCCACACTCCGCACTTCTTGCCTTTACTACTTCCTTCACCACTTCCTACGTCATGGTCTTACTTAAGTTTGCCATTTATGAGATGGATCCATGAATGTGATTTTCAGACGAATTGTTTAAGATAAAATAAATGTTATTTGTTATAACCTTATTTAGCTACGTAAATCAAATCGGTTAAATACTGTACCTAAGAATAGTTATTTGTGTAACTAGTAAGCAATTTGGCACTTTGCTGCACACGAGAGCAACGTTTACGCACGAGCCGCAGCCAAATGCGGAATGATCTCGAGTGCAGCAAAGGCCTTTTGCACTCGTGTTACAAATTATATTTTTCCTACAGTCACGATAAAGCATATAAATAATTAGTCTTTCAAA